AAAGTCATCCAGCTGAATCCAAAAAGGCGGAATATAATAAAGTAATATATAAAAATTATCAACTGAGGTGTTTGAAATAACACTGGGATAAAGTAGTTATCAATATAATTCACAACTCTGATTAAAAAAAATAAATATCAACTAAAAGGACAGGTGGACTCCATATACATTGACTTCTCCTGCGCTTTTAACTATGACCTGCTGCTAGCTAATTTGGAAACTTTTGGCATTCATGACAAATTTTTTAGCTTGTTAACCTTCAATTTTTTAGATCGCAAGCAAGTTATAATATCTGGTTGCACCTCGAACATTGAACAAGTGAAACCTGGAGTTCCACAGGGGTCTCACCTGGGCTCATTACTATTCATTACATTCATTAATGATTTATCATCTTCATTAACTTCTATGCTCTACGCTGATGATGTAAAATTGTATTCCGTTAGGTATAAAAAACACTTCTGATACCTTTAACATTCAAAAAGACCTAATCGCTCTTCATAAATGGTCATGCGATAACATACTAACAATTAATGCTTCCAAATGCTTTGTATTATCATTGCTTATTACAAAATTGGTGATACACTGATCTCAAAAGTGGATAAAATCTCGGATCTTGGTATCATTTTCATAGCCTCACTCTCATATTTACGAATCACACTACAGCAACAGCTTCCAAAGCTCCCAGGATTCTGGACTTCGTTTGTCGCACAACCAATAAGATTTTTTTAAAACCCGATTCTCTACGTCATCTCCATGTTACCATGTTACCCCTGATTTTCTCATACATTTTGCATTCCCTTGTACCTCCATACCTACATCTATCCACTTGCGAACATTTTGGGTCACTTGAAATCGAATCAAAATTCTTTGAATATCGCCGCGATTTGAAGCATAGCCCAATATTTTGTCATTCCGAACAACCTTTTGCTATAACTTTTTTCGATTCGAGTGATATTTCACAGGCTGCCATTTAAACGAAACCTAATTTTTTCTATTTTTGAAGACTGTCTAGTAAATCAAATTTAGATTAAACAGACGATCTTATATTAAAATAGGCAACAAGTTTTGTTTGAAAAATTTTTTGATTAAACTTTCAGTTTGGCCGCAATGAGTATACTGCGTACTTTCTGAGTCACCCTGTATCTTTTACAATATTAATTTTGTTTATAGGTATAATATGTAAGATCTCGTCAACCCGATGATCACCAATTAGAATAAATCAATTAAAAAAGTACAGGACCTGCAAAACTATTGGGTATTGTTTCTCGAAATACCAAGCAAATAAAAGAACAGATAAGTCGTACAACCCGCAGTATTTAACGGTTTTAAACATATTAGGTGCGTCGTAGATGTACAATGTGATTTTGTGGAGTTGAATCCTCTCATGATACAAAATATTACCCAACAATTAAAACGTCTAATTAAAAGATGGGACGTTTTAGGCTAACTTTTCATTTGTTATTTAATCGGAAGTTTTAATTAAAAGTCTTCGAGCGTATTGATCATATTTAAATCTCAATATACGGTTGTGGATATTAGGATGTGGTAAGTGGCTGCAGCTAAATAGCCGCTAACAGAATCTTAAGAAATTTAAGATTATATTTGATGATATGAAGGAACTCCATTAAGCCAGGAAACAAGCGAAAAAAGACCTAAAAAACGAAGTAATTCGTACTCGCTATTTTATTGTTGTAACGACTAGGGGAAGGTAGATAATAGAAACATTAGGGTTTCGAAAAAAGTGGTGTTTCGTGATTTTTTATCAACAATTACCTTGGTCGAAAAGCATATTTTTTTTAGTTAAAGGAAACGAAAGTAATGCTTCAAAAAAATAATAATAATAATAATAGTTCACAACAATTGTTTCACCAAAACATTGGCTTCTTCAGGAGAAGACATATCAATGTTTTGGTGAAACAATTCTTGTGAACAATTAATATATACTTTTTTGGAACTTTGCTTTCGTTTGCTTTAATTGATTATGGAGTTTCAACAAGTACAGCCTTGTACTATTAAATATTTTTTTTTAGATTTTTGTATACTGTGGGAAAACTATAAAATATAGAGAAAAAACTTTAAAAATACAAAAGAATGAGATGCGACTCATTAAAATTATACTTTTTAAAGTAAAAACTTATTGCAAAAATCTAAAAA